AGAAGAAGAAGAAGATTGAATTGGACCATGGAGAGGATATTCCATCCTGGAGGGCATCAGCCATACCTGTAGTGGACGCACCTAATGCTGGGCCACAGGTGGAGGTACCAGTTATAGTGGCCCAAGGTGTCCCCAAGATATCAGTTGCCCCAGTAGTTGAAGACATCAACGTTTTAGAGGAAGAGTCGTTACGAGAGGATGACATTTTCCCGAACCAAGAAGTGATCCACATGGTTCAGGTATTTATGGTATTATGTTTATTGGTGTTTTCAATAAAACATGTGGTTTAAACTGGCACCTATACAGTTAGTTAACGATTTTTGTATGACAATATTGTTTTTAGATTAAACGTTTTCTCATTTTTATTCGTTTTCAATCACATTTTTCGTATGTGGTCCGCCTCTTACGCACAGTTTACGCACGTTATTTGCGCGTCGGTAGGAAGTAGGAACAGCTCCCCCATGTCTCCTGATAACCCAGCAAACTGCGTTTGGTGGTTTTAACGAAGCATTGTGTTTATACTTTTTAATCACATAAGTTAAATCAAAATGCTTTATAATGCCCACATCATCCACATCATTAGTAACCCAATACACTACTCCTTAAACAGAAGTTTCATGTCATTCATCAGAACTGAATGTAACTCTAAATGCCTCTCCCCCATATATCAGTGTCCACTGCCACTGTAACACGAGCAACGTGCCCCATGGATACATTGGAGACACCCTCTATATTTGGTCTCAAATATATATTCTAATTTTTACTTTGCCAACTAATGGGAGAGACAGATACAGGGCCAGCATGCCACCTACACATGGATGTGAAGGCACTGGACAGATGAGAATGGGTTATGCCCATTTTTATTAGTATTAATGGGAGTGTTTAACGTCTATGGTAATCTACACTCTCACGCCTGTACGTTTTGGATGTTGATGTAGGGAATTTGATTCCTGTTTATGTAGACGGGGCTCCTTGGAAATGTAAACATAGAGAGATGAATTCCATTTAAATAGTATTTAGCTGGTATAACGTTTAGACAGCCACGTGTTTTTGAGAGAGCGAGAGAGGGTGCGAGACTAGATTTAAAAAAAAAAAATCATCATTCACTTTATCCTTCCATTGAAAATCTATTCTGCAGTCATGGTGGGCCACCTATAACCTAGTGATGGGCGACCATATTGTAGTATTATGTTTATTGCCCACCAAGGAAGACACTTCATCGGTGGTTCAGTGGGAAGACCAACCTGGCAGAGGTGGGTACATGTACAGCACCCCCTGCTGGACAATCACGTTTTTACATTACTTTTACTTATATGCATTTAAGATTGCTTGCTCCTCTTTCTAGAGCTGAAACGCGGACTCTCTTGTTCCATTCAGCCACATCTGTTATGGGGGTTGTTGGTACATTTCAACATGCAGTAGAAGTGTATTGGCACTTTGTGTATGAGCCTGAATTCTATGATGTTTCACTTGGCTAAAAACGGGTCCCACAGAATTTGGGGTTCTATTGCTGCGCTGTTTGACTTGACAGATCACGTTCCCTTGTACCCTAGTACCAGCACTCCCTTTACCCTTTCTTCACGTTCCCTAGTACCTAAGTACCAGCACTCCCTTTACCCTTTCTTCACGTTCCCTAGTACCTTAGTACCTGCACTCTCTTTACCCTTTCTTCACGTTCCCTAGTACCTTAGTACCTGCACTCTCTTTACCCTTTCTTCACGTTCCCTAGTACCTTAGTACCAGCACTCCCTTTACCCTTTCTTCACGTTCCCTAGTACCCAAGTACCTGCACTCTCTTTACCCTTTCTTCACGTTCCCTAGTACCTTAGTACCAGCACTCCCTTTACCCTTTCTTCACGTTCCCTAGTACCTAAGTACCTGCACTCTCTTTACCCTTTCTTCACGTCTCGCATGTGTGTTCGGTGTCTGTGGGCTCGGGAGTGTAGGTGTCCTTACTCACACCCATTATCTTCCCAATCTGTATGAACTGCACATTTTAATAATCCTTAACATTTGTTCATACCAGCGTGTAAAATCACTGAGACATTTTGCCAACCAAAAGGTTTCAGGCGTTCTTCTCCCATCTGCACATTATCCCCTCCTGGCTCTTCCAGCGTGTTGTAACACACCATATATGGGAATGTGTGGAGTCCAGATAATTAACGCTACCGTGTTGACACAGCAGCAATATTCAGGCAACAGCTGGAGCAAGCTGCCCTCTTTTCAGTTGTAATATGGAAGTGCTTTTGTCTACTTTTGTCTGGAAGTAGCCTGACAAGAGGAACGCTGGAGTCCTTATTACACATGATCAAAATGCCTTGTTTGTAGGTTGACAATGCGTGTTTACATTGTCACATGTGTCAAACTCAAGGATTTTATGTGGCCCACAAGAGCTCAAAAGGCAAATTCTTATTATTCAAATAAACGTATATGCTCCTTTACATCATTTCAGTGACCATAAACTATATCACCAACAATGCATGTCGATTTTGTTTGATGGAGTAATGTGGGTTTCTAAACCTGATCAATTAAAGGGATTTATTTTATAATAACACATGTGCTTACATATATTTTAACATTTATGTAAATGCATGTATAACATGTGTACTTCTATTCATACACTTGAATAAATAATAATAGTAGAAAATGCAGAACATTCCTCAGCTCACCATGTGAGTTTCAACTCTACTAATCAAAGCGTGTGATTGAATGCATGTGTCTTTTTGCGCATTGGTCCAGCTCTTGGCTGACTTTCCCCATACAGGTATTTCCCTGTGTCTGTCTGCAGGCTTGCACTAGTGAGAGTCAGTTCCCTGGTGTGTCGCTAACATTCCCATCATTTGCCACATCTGACTGGACACCCAGACCAAGAAAGACACTCATCCCCAGTGAGATATCAATGGCTTTACATCAAAACACCAACGCGAATTCCTCCCGGCTTTCAGGGCAGTGATCCATGACGATGTTGGCAGTGACACCACAGTGGGAGCTGAGCCCATCTCCTTCTAGCTTGGCTAAACTGAACCCGGCTGTGTTGTTCATATCCTGGCCATGTTGGGCCCTGTGCTGTTCTGATGAGTCAACACACAGGAACGGAAGGGGTCTGCCCATGCCTGAGGGAGGGGGGGATAGGGTGGGAGATGGAGGGGGGACAAGTTATTTCCTTTCTTAAAGGTCAGTCAATTTCCCTGTTTAAAGGTACGTGACAGGAGTGCTTTGTAAATGTTTTGAATAGAGCTTTTGGCAGCTAGTAACTTTAGAGAGCTAGTCAACTGCTAACCATTGAAGTTGCTACATGCTTTCTGTTAGGTTTTTATTTTTCATGGTTAAAGTTCTGGTGGTTGGAGCGTTTTTATATAGATAATAAACCCGAAATGATGCCAGACAAAAGCCAGACGTATAATTAAGGAAACTTCTAATCAAAGCCACACATTTGCCTACACTTTCCAAACTGTGTCATAAGATTTACATAAGATCATGTCAATTACAGAGAACCGTTTTACTTTTTCGGTGGTATCGAGAGAGAATCGAACAGTTTCAAAGTATGGCACGATCTCACTGATAATCACATCATCATGCAATCATCATGAAAATCAACGTTTATACGTTGTCCCCATGCCCGTTGTGTCGGACCTCTGTCCTGCTATATGTGTCCGTGACAGTGTTCTGTGGGTTATCATAGACATTAGCATCTCATCTAGACCCTTTGGCTTGATCCTCGCCCTGCAACCCCACACAGTCCACACAGTAAAAGTCCATCCTTTGTCATTCCCTTCATGGGGAATCTCAGCCGATAAGAAAGTGGGTTCAATGGGACAATGTGTCTGTGTTATTCCAGAGACACAGAGCAGGGCTGGGAGGTTACGGAGACAACGGGACACTATTCCCGGGCCAGATGCCTTGGCCCACTTCCCTGATGGGAGGTGACACCGTGTCACTGACAGCCCGGCACCTCCGAGTATAATTGCATCTCATTGGCTGTTTCACCGGATTAGCCTCGTAAGAATTAATAATTGTTCACTAATGTGTTGCTCCTGTTTGTGGAATGTTTTTAGGCATTTCTTAATGTCTTTTATAGGGACCGCTGTTTGTCTACATTATACTTTAAATTACTATTTAACGCAATAGAGTTCTGAAGCAGAAAACTTTCGAAAACTGTGATAAAGTATTTCATGTGAGGAACCTCTCTACGGGTCCCCAGCTGATCCAGTCTTAACATGGACACACATCTCCACCACCTCCGTCCAGCATCACCTACTGTCAATGTGGCAAATGCCAGATAGTGGGCTTAACCAGTGACAAGCTCATTCTGCAAGGTAATCGGCGCACACTGAGCCAAAATAGAGGAGGTCCTGTACAGCATGAGGTCAGAAGTCAGAGTTGGGGTTAATCTGACCGGCAGGCAGTTGTTAACACGCGGCCCGAAATCCTCTACAATCCAAAGCTCTTGGCTTCGTTTGGTATCCGTATGCCACTCGCGTCATTCGGGAGCCCGACAGACGGGGACTGAAGCACCACGGAATAATGACCTCAGGCAGTTGCGCTAGACAGAAATCTCTGACCAAATTTGGAGGGATACAGAACATATCCCATGAGTGTGATAGTGTGTCTTAAATACTCTGAGCAGTGCATCATCTCACGGTTCAGTCGTGAGCCCGTGAATCAGATACTGTATGACTTGGGTCCACTAATATGCACGGGGTATTTGTGTGTTTAATAGCTGAGGAATTCAGTGGCGTTGGTCAGTGGGTGGATCTGCTAACTGGATGCCATTCCAGTGGCTGGGTGTGAGGAGCTCAGGCTGAACTTTTGTTATATCTAAACCTTTGATCGGACACTGTTTTCCATGGGAGGGAAGTGGTGGGTGGAGTCAAGCACAAGCTAGCTCCCGTTGGCACGTTGTATTATAATTTATATAATGGACTTTGTTAAGGGGCAGGGTTAGGGTTATTACAAACAGACAACCGTATTTAGGTCAGATGTTTGATGAATATGAAGAGGAGTTGGTAGCACAGTGGTAGAGTGCATGCTTTGTATGTATGATGTCCTGGGTTCAAACGTCCTTCCTGTGTGGGGAGTCACGGCAGGAGGCTTAGAAGTATACATCTGGTTGGTCATCTGGCTTCCTGTCCTCCTGTTGTCCCTGCCTTGCTCAGAGGTCTGCCATGGGTTTTAGTCACCCTGTTGTAGTCTGCTCCATGATATTAAATGTTGTGCAATTACACATAGCTACACTTTACAGTGGAGACTTAAAGCCCCTAAATCGATATTTGTCTGTGTGTATGGCATCTTTTGGGCCTGACAACATGCACATGGAGAACCCACTGAATAAACCAGGACCTGAGAGTGGGCGGCAGATGAGAGCTGTCACTCATAGAAGACCCTACAGTGTGCCTTCAGGTTGTCACGTTCACTGGATTCAGCAGTCAGCATTTTGTAGATGTCTGCTCTGGTATGAATCTACTCACTGCAGGTTTAACATTTTAGCATGTGAAAAAAACTATTGTGATCCGCTCAGAGCCAAGTTCAGATGAGAAACAAGCATTAAAGGAATGCAGTAGCTATCTTTGGCACTGTTTTTTCACCATATAATATAGAATATCTCAGTTTACACACACATGGTGTCTGTTTGCCGTCTGCAGTATGGCAGGCAGACATTACATCTGTTTATGCTCCGGTTCTATTTACTGTCTCAGTTCTTGGTAGTTTCCAAAAAGTCAGCAATGCTAAACGGATTAGTTACAGGGGCTTGTGAATCCAGAGTCCACAGTTTCAATCTATAAATTCTATCCTATTATTATTATAATTAATATTTGGCATGCTACTTCTAACAAAATGTTTAATCTAAACCCAGATCAAACTTTAAAATGCATTTGAGCTTGTTCATGATCTGGTTGCTCGCATTGTAAAAACTTTAGATATTGGTTAAAACACTATGCTTTAAAAACTTAATTTGCCTTTAATTGGATTTCTGTAATGAGATTTCTTCATTGACTTTAACAGGATAACAAGCTTAGTTAATGGCAGCCTGACCAAAAGCGAACATTGGCAAGGAGATAGGAAAACACAAAGAACCACATACAAAATATATGAATACAAGTTATACACACAGATTTAATGACTCAGGATCGTGGATCAGATAGTTCTTCCTTACTTTCTTAAAGGAGTGTTGTTTGACAAGTGTCTTGTTTAAGAATATTTCGCTATTGTGTTCGTTTTAGTCAAAAGAGGGGAAGAGCTTATTTTGGCTAACAACTACCCATGGAGCTGAACTACCCATGGAGCTGAACTACCCATGGAGCTGAACTACCCATGGAGCTGAACTACCCATGGAGCTGAACTACCCATGGAGCTGAACTACCCATGGAGCTGAACTACCCATGGAGCTGAACCACCCATGGAGCTGAACTACCCATGGAGCTGAACTACCCATGGAGCTGAACTACCCATGGAGCTGAACTACCCATGGAGCTGAACTACCCATGGAGCTGAACTACCCATGGAGCTGAACCACCCATGGAGCTGAACTACCCATGGAGCTGAACTACCCATGGAGCTGAACTACCCATGGAGCTGAACTACCCATGGAGCTGAACTACCCATGGAGCTGAACTACCCATGGAGCTGAACTACCCATGGAGCTGAACCACCCATGGAGCTGAACTACCCATGGAGCTGAACTACCCATGGAGCTGAACTACCCATGGAGCTGAACTACCCATGGAGCTGAACTACCCATGGAGCTGAACTACCCATGGAGCTGAACTACCCATGGAGCTGAACTACCCATGGAGCTGAACTACCCATGGAGCTGAACTACCCATGGAGCTGAACTACCCATGGCTACCAGGGCTAATAACATCAGGGCTGCAGCCCTCCGAAGGGGGGCTAAGGGGTGTTCTAGGAGGGCCACAGGGGAATCCTTACGCACTGAACCCATCTAGCAGGTGGCTCCAGAACATGAGCCACGCCCGGTACCAGCTCACAACTGCAGGGCAAAGCCACCTGTGGGTCCAGCGCCACCCACGCCCCTGGAGCCACAACTGGTGCCACCCACAGCTCAGCGAGTACCCCTTCCAACCACCAACAAAGAGAACCAAGGCCCCCAGAGGGGTTGAATGACCAGCCCCCTGGGGTGGTTGGATGGTGGTGGAGGGCATGGCTTAACCTGCATGTCCTGCCGGAGCAGCAGCTAGCGACCCCTGCTTGTCTGAAGCACCAGCCAGCGCCCCCTGCCTGTATGAAACGGCAGTTGTTTTCTCAATTTTGAGTTGTTATTATGCACACCAGTTTTAGTTTAGGAATTAGTGAAGGTAATTAAGTTAATTTCATCGTAACTTTGCTTGTGGTTATAATATGTTACATCCCATCAGTTCAGTGAGTGTTTGTGTGTCATGTATGTTTTGTTTTAACGTAAGTAGTCGCTCATTTAGCACACTTTCATTTAACTCATTGTATATGTGTTCTTTCGCCGTACTTTTGTTGTTGTTGTTGTTGTTGTATAAAACCATTGAACAAGATCAGAAGTTCTGTATCTGGCTCATTCCTCACTACACCCTAAAATATTATGTGACAAATACACAGAGTTTAATTATAATGTTCTCTGATTGTGCAAATGTGCAATGTCTGGTTAGAGTTCAGATGACCTGTAGAGATGGCTTTTGGTGATAAAACAATATGAACAAGGCGAACAGGATTGACCATGCATAGCTAGAATATGCCAAATAGAATGTGCAATTAGAGTTTATCTGTCCTTTGAATAATGTTACTGACAAGTAGTGTACAGGCTGCATAACACTCTGGTTTCGGTCTTGGTAAACCTCAGCCTTCTAACTGGCGATATATAATTCTTTGAGAGATGGAAGCTTACATCCGATTAGCCGCTCTGCAGAGTGAATTGCCTTGAGTGTAGCTGTAACAGTGATAATAAAGGGCTTATATGGCTGAAGTAAGTGGCCTCTACAGGAGTTATGATCCTGCTAAAAAATAAACTACAACTCAAAGAGATGGATTGAATATATATACAGTTATCATATCACCCAGACATATCAATATATCAAGCTAGTAAATCTAAAAGGGTTAAAAATAGATGATCCAGACTTCCTCACAAACCATTATACGTCTAACATTCTGAACCTTCTATCTATGCAGGACCTGCTAGAGTCTGTGCCAGAACCGGTGAATGAGCCAGAACCCAACACCAAGTCTAACCCAGTCAAACCTGAACCCGTCGTGGAGGAGGTCCCTGTCCGACAACCCACCCCTGTGCCAGCCAGAGAACCTACCCCAGAGCCTGCGAGGGAACCCACCCCAGAGAATGCGAGGATACCCACCCTTGTTCCAGCCAGGGAACCTACCCCAGAGCCTGCGTGGATACCCACCCCGGTGCCAGCCAGGGAACCCACCCCAGAGCTTGCGAGGGAACCCACCCCAGAGCCTGCGAGGGAACCCACCCCGGGGCCAGCCAGGAAACCCACCCCAGAGCCTGCAAGGGAACCCACCCCAGAGCCTGCGAAGATACCCACTCCGGTGCCAGCCAGGGAACCCACCCCAGTGCCAGCCAGGGAACCTACCCCAGAGCCTGCGAGGGTACCCACCCCAGTACCTGCGAGAGAATCCACCCCAGAACCTGTGAGGGAACCCACCCTGGTGCCAGCCAGGGAACCTACCCCAGTGCCTGTGAGGGAACCTACACCAGAGATTATCTTGGTGCCAGAGCTCGAGGTCTTTGACAGCAATGGTAGTACATAAAACATTTTGTTAGCTAATTGTCTGTCTATATCTAATGTTCATGCATTTGCTGCAAATTATGGTTAGCCAGGTGGCTACCAGATACTTTTTACAGAAAATCTTTGGCATATTCAGCAATAACCCATCCCATCACAGTCTTGAAAATCAGCATAACTTTGTAGTTCAATCTGTTTGTTGTTCCAGGCCCTAGGCTAGTGTGATTGTGCCTGGTACAGCAATGTGTTTCCATAGGAGAGAATGAAGTCTGTCAGTCCTGTAATTCAGTACAATACAACCACACATAGCCATAAACACACAAGCATTGTGCTTATGGCCGATACACAATGCCTGGCAAAAGCATTTAAACCCCTGAGTAATTCTGTCATCTAAATTAATTCCAAATATTACACGAGCATTTCATTTTGAATGCCTGGCAAAAGCATTTAAACCCCTGAGTAATTCTGTCATCTAAATTAATTCCAAATATTACACGAGCATTTCATTTTGTTATTGAAAAAAAAAGATGCCAAAGAAGTGTTGGGAAGTATTTGGAGAAGAAAAATTGTTCTGTAAGTATTTAACACCTGTTCTGTAGGTGCTCCCAATTTACACAGATAACGTGTTCCCTATACCATTGGTCTCCGTCTCTGAACTATAGAAAATGCTTTCTGCATTTCTGGATAATGTTGAAGGACAATTAGTTATGCAAGAGCATTCTGGAGAATTAAAAGGGAAATCAATACAAATCCATGGATATTAGGAAAAGGGTACAAATTAAGTGTTTGGATATCCCAGAGTAAAGATCAATTATCCAAGAAAATATGTCAAGAAATTATTCAAAACTTTAAAACTTAAAAAAGGGGACCACAGAGGTCACCAATCAATTGGTGGTGCTACAGAGTTTAGTGACAGGGAGTGATGGTGCCCTGATTATGATCATAATTTACCCTGTATGAGAGGATGGCAAGAAATACATTTGAAAAAAGTACCATCTGAAAGCTTTGAAGTGTCCTAGTCGTAACGTTGCTGTAAAAATACTAAAAAAATTGCCACGTACAGTGGGTATGAAAATTCTACACACCTAGTTTAAGGGTGTGCAAACTTATGCAACCAGGTTATTGTTTGTTATTTTTCTTTCTTTTCACCCTTTAAAGATCTCTGTTTGTTTTTCAATTGAATTGTTTGCGTTATAGGTCACATTCAAGTTGGAAAAAGTTCTGACATGATTTATCTTTGTCAAATGTTTTCACATCACAAAAAGCTGCCATTTTAGCAGGGGTGTGTAGACTTTTTGTGGGACTAAAGCTGGGACTTAAAAACCAAATTACTTGGTTGATATTACG